TTCCAAATTAACCATCCCAGCGAGAATCGCTTCTTTTCTTTTATCGCTTCTCTTGATAACAAACCCACTTGCTTTGCTTGCTGCATGATTCCTATTCTCGACATAATCGTCGCGAATTCGGTACGAGATATAGGATGCATGGTGAAAGTTATGCGCGTGTGTTTCCTTTGCTGTCACTCTGTGCTAATACGGTACTAATAAAATACCATAGTTTGAATTATCTAGAAATTAAACCTGATGTTCAATTTGTCCTGTAACAAACTCGTTTGCACAGAAGAGACAAAAAGTCTTAATACGCTCCCACCTGGATTCGAACCAGGAACCTTTTGGTTAACAGCCAAACGCGCTAACCGATTGCGCCATGGAAGCCAGCATGGTAGGTATTTCTTTCGACAAGTAATTTTATTTACATGTTTGGAAGGAGTCGGCCCCCCCCCCGCTTGATCCCGCCGATCGATACGTTTACACGACTAGCAATAATTACCCACACTAATCGACACCAAGCTGAATTTATTTTATTTAAACCCTTTTTACATATATCCCGACTATGAATTTCATCTATTTTTGAAATTGTAAATAGACTATGTTCAAAACCATAATTGATTATTATTAACAATTAATAATCGAATTAGAATTAATGTCAATTGAGTTTGAGAGAGGTGCACGGTTCAGGTATCTATGTCTTTTCATCCTTTTCATCATCGTTCGACAACGGTGGATCGTATCCAAAGCGGAGCATAAACGTGCGAGGTCTTAATAAATTTATGTGATTAAAGAAACCTGAAACGAGAAAAAGTATAATGAGAAAAACGCCGAACAAACCGCTTGTCATTGTATAGTAGTATACTCACTCCTGTCAGCCCTCCAGATATCCGATTTCTCTTGTCTAACCCAAAGCCGCTTTGGCGGAACCTTTGGCATTTTCAAGTACCTAATCGGTCTTGCAATCCCGACTGCCATCGGATGTTCAATACTCGGTAATGTTAGCTCTTCACTGGGGTCGTTACCTTTTGACTTTTCATACGCAAATCTCTTCGCCTCGGCTTGTTGGAATTCGCTTTCATATGCTGGATCAAATCGCCAGCGTGTGAATATGTCGTGTAGAGTGGCAATAGAAGGGCGATCGCATGGATTATGAGACCAACATTGCATCATCAAAGAAATATAAAAAGATGGAACTATCGACTGAAGGTGATCAGGAACGATGGGACGAAGAGAAGACGACAGATAGGAGGAATAGGCCGAGGGAGAGAATGTATTCGTTGATGACGACGATTGTTGTGGTAACATTGAATATAATAGTGGTTCGTTGCAGATCAGATTAAACATTATCATTGATAAGGTATATACTTCGTGTCCACTCTCTTTCTTTCCGCTGATTAGAAATTCGGGTGGAATATATGGAGAAATGTCAAACCTTACACTACCGATTACTGGTATTCCATATGACTTTGTGTCTAATTGCATCTCTCGTAATGGCACTTCTGTATGTGATCTAAATATAACATTGTCCACTTCACCCTCATACAATGGCTGGTAATACTGATATTTATCGGGGTACAGCATTGCCGAAGTCAACGTATGCAGGATTAACAAGCGATGAGACCATTTTAAACGCGTGTGCAAATGGGAGACATACCGCCTCAGATCCCATTCCGCTGATTCGATTATCATACAAAACCTTTCCGTTAATGAACAATAGGTCGCACCAAACACCCTCGTCATCAACAGATTCTGTTTTCTCGTCTCAAACTGCAAACGCAATTCCTCAACAAACTCTTCCTCTGTACATTTGTAACTAATAAATGCGATTTTAACGTATTCTCTTCCGCGAATGAATTTCTTCTCTCTGCCACTCCAGGTGTCCGCTGGACCATCAATCCAGTATCCGATCAACACACGAGCGAAATCGCTGTATTCAGTCTCATCGATTGTGAAATCGATAGCTAGTTGTTGATGTGGAATATATTCCAAGTAACTAACACAGGAGGTAGCTTCCTGTTGAGTAGATAAAATGTATTTGTCAAGAAGTGAATGATCTGATGTCCACGTGTGAGAACGAGCAGTAAAACGAGCCGCTTCGCAGGGATTGCACCAAAGAGTAGATCGCGGAAGTGTAGACGAGCATCTGGTACAGGATATCGGTGACGAAGTTGGATAGTTAGATGAAATAGTTGGAAACTGGTGTGTAAAGAGAATAGATTGCAAAGGTGGGTGATAATTGTTTCGAGAGTTGGCTGTTGATTTTAATGTTGATGTGATATTTGTCATTGTTGTACGTTTCGCTTGTGTCAATACTTCGTATAAATATCGTTTGTCATTTATATTGGTGTGACAAAAAACAGGTTGGCAGATTTGACGTCATCAAATGATCAAAGTACTCAATCAGGTTTAGACAGTGATGCATTAATAGCCGCAAATTCCCGGTGCAGCAAACCAGGCTTGTTTGCCATGATGAACATGTATGGAAGACAACAAAAAAGTCGATTTATTTAAGCATGTGAATAGGAACAATATATTGCAAAAACTGGTTCCCAACGTAAATTTTATTAAACATGTATGCAGACAACAAAGGCTTTATATTTACTAGTCATAAATTTATATCATGTGATCTTTTGCACGTAATCTTTGCTTGTTTAAAGGCGAGCAACAATTTGACTCTACTAGCAAGAAGATTTAGACCGAACAACATCCTTGCGTAGTGAAGTCTGGATGTTGCATCTGGCACTGCTGAGTGTTGGTGTGGTGAATACGAATAATCGTAACCGGTTAGAGAACTTCGCACTCTGTTTACGAATATTTTGTAGTATTTTATTTCATTGCATGCTCACATGATTCGATTAGCTGAATTTTGTGCGTGAGGAATTTCGGGTGACGACTTTCGTGTATCAAACCTTTTTTTGCGCCGGGACCATATTAAGTACTAAATTAAGTACTAAATGACGTATGCATTGAACATCAACTAGTTCTAAAAATAATATCATTAAATCTGCCATTGTTTTTGTTTCTTGTAATATCCCGTTGATTGGATCATCTTTCGAGTGCATCTAGTCCTACCAAAAAGCCATAATAATAAGGGATGCATCTATTGGCTTCACTTATCCCGTCTACCCGCCAAGATGTCTGGCTGCTGTAGCAATCTAACAAAGAAGTTTAAAGCATTCGTGGAGAAGAGAGGAGGAAATGTTGTCGATCTGGGTGTTGGTGAGTAATCGACATGACGAAATTATCAACTTGTGGTAACAGAGTTAGCTAATATCCTGTACGATTACCAAAGGTATAATCATCGGTGCTGCCTTCTCTGCTGTTGTCAATTCATTCGTCGTAAGCAAACGTTCAATCGATAGTACATATGAAAATGAATTTTTATTTTGTGGTCATCTCTCACCCGTTTATCTTCATTTATCCGTAGGTCGACATTCTCACGCCTCCCCTTGGTCTTTTCATTCATGGTAAATACGATTTACGAACCCAATGACGCCGATATTGTAACTAAAGAATACATGTTTCTTCCAACAAGGTTCACAACTCGAAAACTTCTTCATTGTCATTCGTCCCGGCAGAACCCATCATGCCAATTATACTACTCCGCATGACGCTCAGGATGATGGGGCCGTGTAAGTGAAAAGGCAATTGGGACAAACTATTGAACTTTCTAACTTGTGTTTTTTCATTTTGTATAGAACTATGAATATTGGTTCATTTATAAGTGCTTGCATTACCTTTCTCATGATATGTATAACTTTATTCTGGCTTGTACTCAGTAAGTTGTAAAAAACACCCAACTTTCAGCGTCGTTTCCTTATTACATTATATTCACTCATCCGTGCGGGATTATATTGCTCTCTCTATATAGTTCATGACTCGTTCCAAGAACGATTCGAACACAAGAAAGGAAAATCCCCCGACACCTTGCCCTGTCCATGGTGTAAAGGAGATGTGCCAAAAGACGCTGTCAAGTGTCAGCATTGCTGTAGTATGTTAAACGAAAAGCCACCGCAAGCAAACGGAAATAATGAGAGCCTAATTGATGTACAGTAAATGAATTGAGAAATTATAGTAGTTATTACTATATATATTAAATATTAGTTAGGTACATGTGATTAACAAGGAAGCT